AGCAGAAATAGCAGATAAATAGACTTTGATTGTAGAAAAAGAGCGACCTTTCTCTAACAAGTCCTGTAAGAATGTGAGAACATCTGTTATGGTGCTGAGGAAAGAAACAATGTTTCTCTCCTGACACCAGGCATCGAAAATACGCCATTTAAGTGTGTATAAGGTCTGTGTGGAGCCTGCTCTAGCACACTGGATAGTGTCCACCACAATACTAGGAAGACCAGAGGCTATTAATTTCTCCCTCTCAGGGGCCAGACCCACAGGTTCCAGATTTCTGGGTGGGGATGCCAAATTTGGCCGTGAGCCTGAGTTAAGAGATCTTTGCGCACAGGAAGGTGCCATGGTTCTCCTTCCAGCAGGGACATTATTTCTGCAAACCAGACTTTCTTGGTCCATCTGGGAGCTACTTTGCGCACACGGTCCAGAGTGGGCTGTATTAGTGCCACCGGTGGAAATGCGTAAAGGCGTTTTGCTGGCCAGCTGTGCGCCAGCGCGTCTGCTCAGAGAGGCGCGCTCACGTCCCATATGGAGAAAAACATAGGACAGTGCGTGTTTTCCCTGGAGGCGAACAGATCTACGTCGGCCGTGCCAAAGCGATCCCAAATCTGTTGCACCACCTCCGGGTGAAGGCGCCATTCTCTCGCCAGTGGGACACCTCTGGAGAGCGCGTCCGCTCCGTGATTCAGCACTCCCGGGACGTGAGTTGCTCTGAGTGACAACAGACGTGTGCTGCAACATAGTAACAGCTTGTATGTCAGGCGGAGGAGGGGCAGTGAACGTGTGCCTCCTTGTCTGTTTATGTGAGCGACTACACAGCTGTTGTCGCTGCGCACCAACACATGTTGACGTGGAATCAGCCCCATTTTGCTGAAATGTTTTAAAGAGAGAAAAACTACCATCATCTCCAATTGATTTATATGTAATTGGCTCTGTTTCTGAGACCAAACACCGCTGGTGTGTCTGTTTTTGCATATTCCTCCCCAGCCGAACTTTGACGCATCTGTCGTGACTAACACACGAGATAAAACCCGACCCAGGGGAACCCCTCTGTTGAGAAATGCTGGGTTTCTCCAAGGCATGAGCGCCCGCAGGCAGGATGGAGAGATCCTCACCCGATTTTGCTGCGGGGGGGCTTGATTCTGTTTCATGTGGACCCAGCGTTGAAACCTCCTCATCTGTAGCAGACCGAGCGGGACTGCTGATATCATAGAGGCCATAAATCCTAAGAGGCGCTGGCAGTGCTTGATCGTTAACACACGATTGCGCTGAAAAAGAGCTAAACACTGATGGAATGCTGTTATCCTCCGCTGGGATAACCGTGCGTAATTTCTTACAGAATCCAGCTCGAGACCCAGATAACAGATCTTCTGTCTGGGGACCAGCTGACTTTTCTCTCTGTTTATCAAAAAACCCAGAGACTGCAGGTGTGACATCAGCAGAGCTGTGTGAGCTCTGGCTTGATGGGGTGAGTCTGCTAAAATTAGTAAATCGTCCAGGTAGTCTAGTGTTCGGACTCCTTGACTCCTGATCGGTGTCAATGCTGCCTCGAGGCATTTTGTAAATACTCGAGGAGCCAGAGACAGTCCGAATGGCAGGACCTGATATTCGTACGCCGTATTCTCGAATGCAAAATGCAGAAACTTTCTGTGTTTTGGTAGGATTGATATGTGAAAGTAAGCGTCTTTTAAGCGGGCCAAGGCACCTTAAGAGACTCAGCCGCTTTGCGGCACAGCTCAAACAGGGCTGGCGTGGATCCATCCGCTTCAACAGGTGCCACCGTGTTTTCTTGTGAAAACTCCTCTGCTTCCTCATCCGCACCTGCTTCATCCTCAGAGAGGCCGCCTGAGGCTGTCAGAGAGATCTCGTCCGCCAGCAACAAGTCCTACATGTCGAACTTGACCAGGTTTTCATCTGTGTCATCCATGGGAAGCAGCCCATCCATCTGCTCACCCCAGGACAATGCCGTGGTGCTGTCCTCCATCTCACCAGACTCCAGCTCTGTGGTCGGTCTGAGAGCCTCAGACAACAGCGGGTCTCTCGCTGCGGTTGAATTTCCTAACGTTTTTGTCAGGAATTCCATGCGCTTCTCCAGGGTCGATTTTCGGAGTTGGCTACAATGCGCACATGACTCCGGGTTAGCAAGTGCCGCCTTAGCATGCAACATGCCGAGACACACTAGGCAAGCTTCGTGGGTGTCCGCTTCCAAAAGAAAAAAATCCACATGCGCTTGGACACGGACGTGAACCTGGGCTTCTCGCCTTGCTAGCTTTGCTAGAGGCTTTCATTTTTCTCTTGCTCTTTTCCGGTGCCATGTTAGCGACAGAGAAGGAGAGTAAACTTCTACCGGTTAGCAAGCTAAACAGGCAGAAAGTTAGCTGTGCTGTTCTAGACTTTTCCTCCTTAGCTGTAAGGCTAAACGGGAAAGAGTGACCCAGACCCATTAGCAAGCTAAACAGGCTAGGAAAAACAGCAAGCAGAAAAGGTGATCGTTAGCTGGGCTAAACGGGCAGTAAGCAGGATCAGAACCTTGTAGTGACGCCCTAGGTAGGGAGCGAGCTCACCTCCAGTCAGGCAGTTGAGTCACATACAGGGCACCTGCAATCAGGTTAAAGCGAGGTGAAGTGCAAAAAGATTAGGGAAATGAGACCTGGCTGCATATTTATAGGCCAGGAGGGCGGGGCCTCCTGTATATGCAGCAATCTCATTTGCCTTGACAGGCGTGTTGAAAGAAACTTCTTCAGGTTGATCTCGCGAGGGCGCAATCCCCCATACTAATGTGTTGTACCTCATGTACCGACCGAAAGGGAACAGAAAAACACAGAGTGCATTTTCTTTTTTTAATTAATATTTTTATCCTATTGATTTACCAAAATCTATCTGGAAAAATCTATTAATGTTTTGCCAATCCCACTTTAATTCGGTGTTTTATGAGTAGACAACTGTTTGTTGTAGTTTGTCTTGCAGTTTTTGCATTACAGTTCATCCATACATCAATCCATTCACTTCTAGTAATCCATTGTCAGGTCACAGAAACAACAGGTCCAAGAGGACATCCCTCTTAACACTCCATCTCTCTCCTGGGACATCTAAGACTTCCAGGACAAAAAATATGTACATGTATAATCCCTCCATTCCCTGAAAACCTAAAAAAGGAGGTGCCCAGAAGCAGTCTTTTTGTTTCAAATATTTTTATTGTAAGGCTTCCTTTGAACATTGTAATAATTGACATGAAATTACTGCCTTTTACATTTTATAACCAAACATGAGCAAACTACATAAAGACTAAGAAAAAACAGACAACCAATCACAAAAAAGAATAACACCCCCCCCCTTACATAACCCCCCTAGAAAGTGTTACCTAGACAAGACTGCCGCTCGTAAGGTAACTCTAAATGTCTTTTGCTTCCATAAAAGAGATCACCGGTTTCCAGATTTTTTTTCAAAATCTTCCAGTTTGTCATTGAGAATGTACCATTTCCTCTCCAGATGAAGTGTATCAGGCAGTAATGAGATCCAGCCTTTAAAAGTTGGGGTCTCCTTCTTTTTCCAGAACAGCAGAATTAGTTTTTTTGCACAGAGGGGTCCATATGACAGAAGGTGTTGTTCTGTCCTCTTCAGTGTCTCAAATTGTTCTGACCCACCCAGAATAACCAAAATTGCATCCAGTCTGATTGTGGTTCTAAAGGCTCTGAAGAAGAATGAGAACAACACCCTCCACCCAGAAATAGTCTTAATCAGAACTTTCTAACCTGAGTGTTTTAATGTGGAGGATCAGAACACAAGATCCCTCTGGATGATGGAGCTCTTCATCCAATCTCTATGGCTGAGCCCAGCCAAGCAACAAAAGCTCCTTTCAGCTACATTCTCCTGGGATATATTTCTCTTAGTCCTAATCCAGACCTAGTGATCGTAGATGATGGTTGGAATCTCAGGTCATCTGTCCTTCTTTGTCACAACAGATTGAAGCGATGCCCTTATTACTGTGGACGGGGCTTCAATGCATCATTGCATTTCCTGTTTCATTCTTCCACCACTCATGAAGAAGACTCCCAGATACACTAACTCCCCCACTTGATGCAATAAGTTTTTTTAAGAACCTTGGTCTCAGACTTAGAGGGGCTGACTCACACTCAGCTGTGAACTGTTCCAATACATGGTTAAAGTTGTGGTTTTGAAAGTTTACAGGTGAATTGCATCATCTGAGATGAGTCTGAGGTTCTCATATGGACAGTCAAACTCCCATGACCCTCTTAGCAACCCTGCAAGGGTGAAGATCTGGTGAAATGTTCCACAATCAGAATGAATGCCCCATTATTTCTCCTGAATATAAGCTTCAGTAATCAGTTGGAGTCTCCCTTCAGTGACCCTGGAATTAACTGTTCCAAGAAAGCTGAGAAGTGTGATCTCTTGGTGGTTAGAAGAGATGTTCTGGTCCCCCTTTTTGAAGATATGGACCCCAATTTCATCCTGTCACTCTGCAGGTTTTGTCCCAGGCTTGCATGTAACCTTGAAGAGATATGTTAACTATGCAAGTCCCACAAGCCTTCAGGATCTTGGGGTAAATCTTGTCCAATCCAAAGTGCCCTAACACAGGAAAGATTTTTAACTCTGACCTCCACCAGAATAGTGGACTTGGCATCCCCAGAGTCCCCAGAATTTGTCTCTTTAAAAGTGGTCATGGTGAGGATAAAATAATTCTCAAAGTGCAAAAAAGTTGTCAGGTCATCCGGACATTTATTTATTTTTTTAGACATTTCGTCTTTCACCCCAAGGACTTCATCAGTTCGAGGAGCCACAACAAACTCAGTCCCACAAGCAGCACACTCACATAGTGGGCCAACCAGTTTGCTGGTGATAAGATGGTTTCTGGGGCCTGCCCTCTCCCCCATTGACTCCTCTGAGACAGCCTTAGCCAAAGTTGTTCAAAACATCAAATTGATGTTATTGAGCATGAACTTTGATGAAATCATCAAAGTGATTCTGCCACAGTCAGACAATATCTCCAGTCTGGGTCATCAGCTCCTAAACCAAGCACAACCAGCGATGGGTCCATCTTTCCTTTTCAAGTCACCAAACAATTTGCTTTCAATTGGCTTTCTGTATAATCTCTGAATTTCTCTCAGGACCCATTATGACAGCCACCAATGACTTTCTGGCCACAGCTTGTGGAATCTGCTTCTACAAAGCCCTGAACATAATTCACCCAAATGTCCATGTTCTATTCTTTCCCTGGTATGCAAGACAAACTCTCCTAGATGTGTGAGCTAAACATCCTACGGACAGGGACCTCTACCAAACATCCCAGTTCATTCTCACTATTTGTTCGGATTTACAAAGTCTATCCAGCAGCCTCGCCTGCCACCAGATCCATTTCACTACAGGATGGAGATAATTGACAGCTCTGCCACTCTCTTTTCCTGAGTGTCCAAGAGCTGCAGGTATGATGAAATTATTACAAAATCGATCATTAACGTTTGGCTTTCAATTGCTTGGTACCAAGTTCACTTGTTACAAGTTCACTTACAAGTACACCTTTTGCTCAAACATGGTGATCATTATGTACAGCCAGTGCCTAGTACAGGAGTCCAGTAACAAAATCCAACTCAGATGTAGATCAGGAATGCCATAGCTCCAAATCTCCTCCCTCTAGCTCTCTCTAGCTTTGGACAGTGATGGAACCCATCATTGTCCAAATGGGCATTGAAGTCCCCCAAGATGGAATTCCCAAATGGCACATCATTAAGAACACCAGCTAGTGACCTCAGTGAGGCCAGATAATCAGAATTTAAAGAAATGAGGAGGATTTCAACACTGAGGTTATCAGCCGGAGGTTTATGTGTCACATCCGATAGAAACGTTCTTTGAGCAGCTCTAGAGCTGGAAGTCCAGCCCCTCTCTAGGAGTTAGGTACTACAGCCAAAGCTGTGCGTAGGGGTGAGTCTAACTGTATCTTGTTGGTATTACTCAACTTTACACACAAGCTCCAACTTTT